CTCTCTCTCTCTCTCTCTCTCTCTCTCTCTCTCTCTCTGTGTGTGTGTGTGTGTGTGTGTGTGTGTGTGTGTGTGTGTGTCTTCCAATTGATACGACTCAGATTGGCATCCACAAAGCATCTTTGAACAGATTTGCACATTTTCTCCTCCATTCTTTTTGGCCTATAACATGAATGTCCCTTACTCAATAGCAGGCATACTCTGCATTGGGTTCAGACACCTTGCTTAATGAGAAAACTTTGTCATTCTGATAATATAATCCTTTCATTCTTCACCCAGAGCATCAGCAGCAACTTTTGTGATTATGTACTTCTCATAGGAAGTACGAAGATTGCATTCACTGTCTACTTTGATGAGTTTCTGAAAACTGGTAGCTAGAAAGGAGATATTCAGCTTCATTTTGACAAAACCAAGAATAAGCCATATCTTGAGTTGAAACTTGTAGATTCATACATATTCTGACTCAGGAAGGGGAGAGAGGTTAGAGTTGAGTCAATGATTGATCATTCCTATGAAGTAAAGCCTTCATGAGATTCTGTAAATTATAGGATTTGGGAACTTCTAGGTTAACATATATATCCTTGTCCTGAGAGATGGTATAATACAATGCCATGGAGCAGAACTCTTGTGATTGGAATCTGTCTAGATCTTACTCTTGGTACCTTTTTGTTTGGTTCTTAACCTGCATTCTTTGTAACATCCTTGACAATACCCTGATAAATGTGCATGAGAGTTACCCTACGTTTTTTGAACAGTCTAACAAAATCTTGAATTTAACAAGGGACTTATGGAATTCTTCAATTTATAACAGCCAGGTTAGAAGCACAGGTCACAACCTGGCACTTGTGACTGGAATCTGAAATAGGAGGTGGAGTCTTTTTGACTTGTGAGAGTTGATGCTGACTCTACCTATTGCCAGAGTTGTAGTGAATCACAGGATACCCACTTGGCATCTTCAGTAAACAGAAAAATTGCTCAGTGTGAGAAATCCATATATTTGATGCCACAAGTGTGATAAATAAGCATCTAGAGAAAAACAGCCATTTTTCCTCCATATGCCATTAGATATTTAACAATAATTGAAAAATACATATGTATAAATACAATAAGATAGTGTCTCAGGAATAACAATATTGATTTATGCATAGAAGAAATAAGGAGACAGACTAGAAGCAATAAACAAGCTCTGGGAAGATGCAACAAACTTACAAAGAACAGAGGACAGGTGAATCAAGGTAGCTACCGACTGGTTGATTGATTTGGTTAATTGGTTTTGAAACAAGCTCTAATAAGTAGCTCAGGTTAACCTTAAACTCAACTCAACCGCTCTGCCTTAGACTGCCAAATAGCTGGGATTATAGGCATACACCATCATGCCCAGTTTGAAGTCATCATTCAAATGACAAAAGGCCACAACAAAGGAGTATCTCTCCTAGCATATCAAACTGGCAAGTAGAAGAGGTAGAGTGACAAACATAGATTTTACTCTCTGTATGCATTTAGTGTGTATTTCCACTTAAAACCAACTTAACAAATATAAAACAACTGGCTATTTCTAACATCCAATCAGACTGTAAACTTACCATTATATGTTGAGTTCAAAATAAAGCCAAATAATGCCACATCATTGGCACAGGGGCACTTTGCCACTTTGATGTCTATCACGTGCGGAAACAATTTTTTGACCTGTGAGTTACTCATTTTAGATCCAAGAGTCCACTGTAGAATAGGCTCTGTGGGAGACAAATTTAGGCATTTAAACATGGCAGTACTCTTGAAACTGGAACATCAGTATTTTTCTTTAACGGTTTTGGAAAAACTATGTAAAGGAAATATTATGTTGTCCAAAGCAGGTAGGGGATATAGTAGAGGCTGGAGAGATAGTTCAGTGGTTAAGAACACTGGCTGCTCTTTGAGGGGACCTAGGTTTGGTTCCCAGCACCCACAGAGCAGCTCAGTATTGTCTGAAGATCCAGTTCTAGCAGATTCAGTACTCTCTTCTGACATCCCAGGGCACCAGGTATACAGCTGATGCAGATATGTGTACTGGCAAAACACCTATAAGCATAAAAACCTTATACATGGGTATAATATGATCTCACTCTTTATCAGTTAAAAATGGGCCAGTTTTTATTATGCAAAGGAAGAAGAATTAAATTATCTCGATAATATTCTTGAGAAAGGTCATACTGCTGAAGAACACTTAGGATGAAAATTAGTAATTTAGACATATATGGAAAATACATTGTCACATGGTCTGTGCTTAGCATAACAAGAGCTGGAACACAGAACAGGGATATTTATAATTGAGGGATCTGTTTCAAAAGCATACATTTCCTTTTGTTCCTTTTGCAATCCCATCAAAACAACAGTAGGCAAATAAAAAGGCGAATAAACCCAGAGTATATACAGTGAAAAAGAGGCGTTTTCATCAGTGAACAAGAGACCAACGTCTCTAGGGAATAGGTAGAAGTTGGGAATGGACTTACAGTACAAAAAAAATCCAATGTGAGACATCTTCAGCCTATCAAACACTGCATATCACCTTCCTGTGGAAAATCAGGGTTTTTTGTTTGTTTGTTTGTTTTTTAATTTCCCTGCTTTTGTTTTCACCAAGCTCTAACTTAGAAGTTTCCTGCTTTTCTCCATATCTGTTCTTCCCTCTCTGAGAAGCATTCTATGAAATGAAAGAATGGGTGGGGCTCTCCTCAGGATCTCCGTGTAGCCTTGAGCATCACTGAATTCTTATTTACCAGGCTGGAGTAGGCAATGATTCTCTTTGGAAGACTTACTCAGACAAGTGCTACAGTTTTAAAACTTACAATACCTACATGCATATGAAATTACTTGAAGCTAAAGTCAAATTTCCATATATAAAAACAGGAATTCTCTTTTTTCCTGGGGAAAAGGAACATTGAAAACACACACACACACACACACACACACACACACACACACACACACACACACACACAAACCCTTTCTTATTTAAAAATTTCAAAAGAATAACAATTTTCCTGTGTTGGAAAAATCAGAGATCAAAGTAACAGAAAAGTACAAAAGTGGTCCAGGTCAACTTGAAAGAATACTACTATGTGATTTAAAAAGCAGTCAAAGAACTTGTAACAACAGAGATAGTTAATAATCAGCTCTTAGCTGTTTATATTCTACAATGCAGTTCTACCTCCTCAAACTTTCAGAAAAAAAATCAACAACTGTGTCTAGACCCAAATACCTTGGGAAACTTCCTCTTCCCTTCCCCCTACTTTGTGTAAAGCAAGAAAAGCAGTTCCATTTCTCTCTGTTTGCTTATTATACAGTCTAGCTACAGCCAGAAGGGGAAAGAAACAATGTCAACTAAAGTAAATCATCAGGAAGTTGCTCAGGACTTCAGAGAATCTTCTGGTAAGGAGCTGACTTCATAGGCTACAATGTGTTTGCAGGCCATTCACACCAGACCTTAGAGAACAAGGAAGTTTGATTCCTCTTGGACTGACAGTGCCTCTGACCTTAAGGAAAAGCTGCTTGGGGTCAGATGCTGTATTTTAAGTCATAAGAACTAGAGAGTGTTAGTGATCTAAAAGCCTCAGGTGAGCAAGAAATTGGTCAGGAAAGTTGATTTGACTGATAAACACCTTTGGTAAGCTTCTGGTAGGATCAACACACTGACCCTTTTTGGTATTTACCACTTTTCAGCTGTAGGGGAACTGACTTGCCTATGGAAATTTACATTCCCAATGTCCCCCTTTTTGTCCTATAAAGTCCCTAATCCCTCATCTGCCACTTGCACAGTCTCCACTCCTGAAGAGACTGAGGCTCTTCAATTGTTCTGATTAAAGAACAGTTCTGTTTCTGGGAAAAAAAAACAACAACTAGAGAGCAATTACGGTTTGTTTGCTTTCAAGTAAGAGAGAGAAAAGTAGTGACCAATGTGAAGGTAACTGTTGACCTGTGATTAAAAACAGTTTATGTATACGATACAGAATTTAGACTCACAGCTTGGATCTATTGCAGTCTGTATTACATATGAAGCAGCACAGACAGGATTTTTAAGCATCTCTTGTGAGGTTCATAGTGAATAAAGACTTAGAACCACACCCTCACCTTTCTCCTTGACTCCCACCTCCTTGTGTTGCCCCTCCTATCTCTAACTTCCAGGAACTGATGATGCTCTACTTGATTGCTCCAGAAGAAGCAGAGGGGTCATCCTTGATGCCCCACTTCCCTCACCCCTGGCTATCAGGAATCCCATCTGCTCTACTTACAAAGTGTTTTCTTTGGGCTGCTACTGCTCACTTTCTGCACTGCATGCACCACAGCCTGAGGCTTACAGGCAGCTCTTGGGTGTGGTGATACAACAGCTGCTAGCCATGGCCTTTATTCCATTCTTGCCATCCTTCCCCAAGAGTAGGTCTCTGGCTGACAAGCCCCCAACCTTGGAACCTTTTCCAAAGCTTAAATCAGAATGTATCACCTTCCTGCTCAATGTACTCAGTTGATGCCTTTTTGTTATAGCTAGTAAAAAGCCCCCACTTTTCCCACAATCCCTGCCAGCCTTTCCAAACTCAGGGGACACCAACCATGCCATCATTTTCTGTGCTTCAGCAAGAAGGGATCCTCTCAGCTCCTCAAACAGACCAATCTCATTTCTGCATACTGCCATACATGTGTTTGTGTGTATTCCTTGTTTGTGCCATCAGACTGTGGTTGTGGCCCTCTAGGATTTGGTGCTGTGTGGTAGTCATCAAAGTTTGTCCAAACAGTATGTGAATTCCGTTCTACTTTATGTGCTGATATTTACCTCGGACAAGATCCAGTAGGGTCCCTTCAGTATTATAAATGTTTAATCCTTCATGCATGGTGACCTTTATTATCCATTCTTCTATAGCTGCGATGTCTAAAAATAAAAGATAAACAACTTTTTACATGTCATGGAAATGGAAGAGTGTGAACACTACCAACAATACTTTTTCTTTTTACAGTCATTTTCACTACATCTATGTGTCACATTTTGCATATTTTTCTGAAACTTATTTTCTGATGAAATATGGAAAAAATCATGATATGATTTTACTGCCACAGCAATGTATCTTAGTGCTAATAAATTTAGATCCTAAATTCTCTCCAACAGCTACAGTGAGGAAAAAATACCATATCCTTTTTGTGAAAACAGTATAATATTATTTTAAAGTACCTGTCAAAGAAAAGTACAGGACCTGAGGGTGGCAATTTGAATTTGACTAAATGTGTAAGGAAGGATTAACAATAATTTCTTATCAAACTAGTGCCCATAATGAAGCAGAAGGAATACTTCTAAACACTTTGTACAAGGTCAGTATCACCCTGATAACAAATCAGATAAGGGGTGACCATAAAGAGAAAATGCCAAGTCAACATTCCTGATAAAGCTTAAGGTAACATGTCCTCAAAAAAATACCAGGAGCTGAAGAGATTGTTCAGTGGTTAAAAGCATTTGTTGCTCTTCTAGAGGATTTAGCTTCAGTTGGCAGCAACCACAGGGCCACCACAGCCACCTGAACCTCCATTTCCAGGGTTTCAAACACTCTATTCAGGCCTATGTGAGCTCTATACCCACATGGTTCACATGCATATGTGTAGACAAAACACTCACATAAAATAAGAATAAATAAATCTTTAAAAAGACTAGAAAACGTAAGTCACTAGCACAGTAAAATGATCATTCACCATTGGATTTATCCCACAGTTTCAATGATAGTTCAATAACAAGAAAGCAAATAGATTTTAAGATGGGCAGTTCTCAGAAGACATGTAAATGGCCAGCTAGTATATAAAACATTACTAATATCCATGGATATGTGATTCAAAACCATGACACGATATCATTTTATGAATAATAGAATATCCATAACCAAAAAGACAAAAGATAATAAGTGCTGGTAAGAATGTTGGGAACTAGTAACCCTTCAACACTGTTATAGGCATATAAATTAATGTAGCCATCAGGGAAAACAGTGTGGATACTTCTCAAAATACTAAAAAATAAGCCAGCAATCCTGAGTATGTGGCCAAAGGCAGTGAGATCAATGTGTCAAGGAGATGCCTGTCTGCTGCCATCTTTTTTTTGTAGTACTGTTCACCATAATTAGAACAGTCACCCAAAATGTCCATTTTCATTGGCATGAATACCAAAAATGTAGTATACCCACACTCATATGAATACTATGAAATCTTATTATTTGAGATAACATGGATGAATCTATGGAACATTATATTAGGTGAAATAACCCAGGCATACTCATTTATATGTAGAATGTAAAGAAGTTGCTTTTATAGAGCAGAACTGAATGGTGGTTCCCAGAGACTTGGGTGTTTAGGTGCTAGGGAGAGATAAGAGGTTGTCATGGGCACATAATTATACTATTATATTATAAATAGGAGGATGGAAAGGGCCAGAATATGAAGACAAAAGACAGAAATAAATGAGATATTGTTGGGGTTAGATATCCTTGGGAGAGATGATACGTCGTGAGGAGAGAAGACTTGGTGATGACTACAGATGGCCATAGAGTTTCTGCCCTTGGTGATGAAATGATCTAAAATTGAACTGAAAGATAATTGTACAATTGTGCAGTAAGTCTGTTTTAAAAATAAAATACTGCTAGGTGTGTTTGGCACATGCCTTTAATCCTAGCAATCTGGAGGCAGAGGCAGGAAGATCTCTGTGTCTTTGAAGCCAAATTCCAGGTCAATCTGAGCTACATAGTTAGACCCAGTTTCAAAATAAAATAAAATATGAAGGGCTAATATTTCACTGAGGATAAACCCTGAAATATATTGTATAAGAGTAGATGGTAATTAGTTAAAATATATAGTAAAACATTGAAAAAATGAAGACATAATGTCCCAATAGTAGAGGTAAATGGAATCACAAAATGAATTAACATAAAATGAAGACAGAAAAATAGAAATAGTAAATCTGAAGGTAACTGACAAGTGAGTAAAACTTTGTTTGTTCCAGTCACAAGATGGTAGATTTCAATAGAATCAAATAAACAATTATGTTAAGTGTAAATGGTCTATAATAACAATTGAAAAACTGAGTTCTCAAAAGATAAAACAGAAATAGCTGAGAAATACTTTAAAATGTTCAAAGTATGTAGATATCAGGGAAATGCAAATTAAATCTACTTCTAGATTTCATCTTACCCCTGTCAGATGGCCTAAGCTATGGATACACAATAGAAGAACTCATTGTCAAAATTGTGTCTATAGTAATAATATTTCACTTTACACTAATGAAAGTACAATTTAAGGAGTAAATTTTAAGATGAGCATTTAGTAAAAAAAAAATAATAAATAAACCACAAAAAATTTAACGAAAAGTCCATTAGTTCAGACATACAGGTTCCATGCAGTATGGCTGTATGAGGACAACCTTGGGTATCAATCTGTGACTTTCACCTTGTTTGAAGCATGTTATCTTTTTTGATATTTTGTAGGGCAAAGAAGTCTCTGGGGATTCTCCTGTTTCTACTGTCATCTCTCCATAGGAACATTGGAATACAGGTGCACACTACAAAGTCAAGCTTTACATGGCTCCTAGGGATCTGACCTCAGCTCCTAATGCCTGTGAGGAAAGCATGAGCAGACAGGCATCTTTGATATCAACCTTGACACATTGATCTCACTGCCTTTGGCTACATACCCAGTGTAGGATTGCTGGATTATTTTTAATATTTTGAGAAGTATCCACACTGTTTTCCCTGATGGCTACATTAATTTACATGCCTATAACAGTGTTAAAGGGTTACTAGTTCCCAACATCCTTACTAACACTTATTACCTTTTGTCTTTTTGGTTATGGACATTCTATTATTCATAAAATGATATTGTGTCATGGTTTTGAATCACATTTCCATGGATATTAGTAATGTTTTATATACTAGCTGGCCATTTACATGTCTTCTGAGAACTGCCCATATGAGGAAAGCATTTACTGTAGAGTCAATTTTTAGTAGATGAATAAAGGATAAAAATAGTGATATAGTCCATGTCATCTCTCATAGCTACAGCTTCTGTCTTTATTGCTGACCTTTCCTTATCTGTCACTTCTACCCTATCCTCACCCCTCATCATTTAGTAGGGCACACTATTACCCCATAGTTAGAGAGGTAGGTCTGCACAAGTCCTATTCCACTCTCCCCATGTTCATTTGGCTGCATATTTTATTGGCACATAAGTAAATTTTGGACCAACAATGAGCAAAGTGATGATAGTCTCCTGGGAATCTGGAATTGGGCTGACCTCTAGGAAAAATATATAAAGATTCAAAACTTCTAAGTTAGCTTTAGATAGCCAGTTTTCAGAGAAAGAAAATAGATTCTAGAAAACATAAAAAGTTAAGCAAGGCATGGTGACAGTATTTCCTGGGTTCCCAATTGCTTTCTATTTCTTATTTGTATTTCCTTTGTGTAACGTGGCTGCATTTTTGTCATTGGTTTTTACAAACTAAAATTTCTTAGCTGGGTGTGGTATGTGCCCTTGGAAGGCAGATGAAGGCAGATCTTTGTAAATTCCAGGCCAGCCAGGGCTACATACGGAGATCATGTCCCTAAAAAATATAAGCAAATAAGTAAATGAAATAGTGTGCCCTACTAAATGATGAGGGGTGAGGATAGAGGCTTAGGCTTGTTTGATGGGAAAGTGTAGAGATGATCTGAACTCTTGGCTGGAATACTCTGTGAGGCTGGACCATCTTGGCTAGCAGCTTTGAAGTTGTTCTGGATGCAGAATTTTGAGAAAACTGCAACTGAGGCATTCTGAGAGGCTGGATCATCTGGGCTACTTGCTTTTATTGGTGTAAAGTCCTGTTCTTCTTTTTCTAAAAACACAAAAACTTTTCTTTCTTTTTTTCTTTTTTTGGTTTTTCAAGACAATGTTTCTCTGTGTAACAGTTCTGACTGTCCTAGAACTCATTTTGTAGATGAGGCTGCATTGAACTTAGAGATCCACCTGCCTCTGCATCCCTACATGCTTGGAATAAAGCATGTGCTCCCACCACTCAGCAACACAAAAATATTTAAAGGTAACACATATATCTGTATTAATACAAGTATGGAATGTTTAGTGTGTACAAGTCAGCTAAAGATGATTTTTTTGTTTCATGTTTGAGCAGGTAAAAGGCATTTGCTAACTTTATGTTTGTTTGTACCATATAACCAAACTGTAATATAAAAGTATGGCATGTAATTAATAAGTCATAATGACTCTGTAACAAACAAGATTTATTATGTCTCATCCAGTCTCAGAGCTGTTCCCAAGCTGAGGTATCAGCATACATGTCACTTGTCTTGTATTCTTTTCTGTCTTCCTTTCTTATGTCTGTAGCCAAGATCATCAGGACGTCTCCCCTGATCAAATCTGATCTCTACTTACTTTGAAGGAATCCACAGCCTTTTGTTTCCTGTGGAAACAAAGGCATAGCCTCTCCCCTAACACAATACATTTCACGACTTCCATCCTAAAGCCAAAACATTTCTAAAATATATAGGTTGGTTTAATCCAGCAGTCCTTTCCATAATCCAAAGTCTCTCAGCAGCTGTCATTTGCCCATCAACATTCAAAAAATTCCAAGTCAATAAAGTACCATGCAGGATCCAGATGCTCTGTATTTCCCATCTTTATGTGGCTTATTTTTTATATTACTTTACTCTTACTTTAAAAATTTTACTTTATTATTTTTAAACCATTTTTTCTATGATTGTTTATACTCATTTTCTTTTCTTTCTTCAATATCTTAGCATGCTTTTATACATACTTTCCCTTTTTAGAGGTTTGCTGTGTCTGGACCTGGCTTTACTAAGTGCCTGCATCTTAATCCGACCACATGAGACAGATCTTAAACTGCTGTCAGCTGCTGAGTGACTCAGCTTATCACATGGCACTGGTACATGGGGATGGCAGCTAGCAGCTAGCTCCAGGCTTCAGGCAGCAGACAGGAATCTCTGTATGCTGCTGAGTACTGGCCCACCTGAGAGACTGCAGGACTAGGAATCCACATCTGGCTCCTTGTCCAGAACTTTTCTTAGCTTTTTCAGGCTCTATATTTGGATATTCAAACCCCACGTTAGGTGTCATATGTAACAAGATTTCTCTGTCCCACCAGCCAGCTCCAAAATAATGTCATAGAGATTTCTTATTAATTATGAAAGCTCAGCCTAGTAGGCTTGTTCTTAACTAGCTCTTATAACTTAAATTAACCCATTTATATTAATTTATGTTCTATCACATGGCATTATCTTTCTTCCATCTTGTACCTCCTATTTCCATTCTGTGTATCTTGGCTTCTCCTGCCCCTAGATTCCTCCTCCTCTTCCATTCTCTCCCCAGAAATCCCACCGATACCTCCTGCCAAGCTATTGGCCATTCAACTCTTCATTAAATCAATCACAGCAATATATCTTCACATAGTGTACAAACATTCCAAAACAACTTGAAGGAATAAAAGTGGATCTGATCCAAAGGTTCCTCCTTGAGGACTACCCATCATAGTAATGGAAGGAGTTATGCAAACTGCCAAGAGAGAAACCCGATCAATAGTCCTACCAAGTTGTGATTAGTGTAAATCACAACAATGACCAGCACAGCAAAGCTATCCCTAGAGGTGCCAGAGTGGCGCTTGTATCTTGGTAGTAGCTAACAGCTGACTAATTGGACTAAAAGTTCACACAGTAGTAGGGAAATAATGCTGGGAATCGTGCACTTAGCTAACTACCTATGGCTGATGAAGCCATGGAATCTAGAGGAGGACCTATTACTACTATTTTTCCAAATCACTATAATCTCTAACTTCATTCTCTTCTTCTTCTTCCTCTTCTTCTTCTTCTTCTTCTTCTTCTTCTTCTTCTTCTTCTTCTTCTTCTTCTTCTTCTTCTTCTTCTTCTTCT